GGGACTAAAGAGGAAGAAAGGGTTAATTTCTTGGCTTTTTGACTAAAGTTTGCTTGGAGAGACCTGGTCCAGGTCGTACTGCTTTTCTTTGGAAAACGCAAAAGACTGAAATTCAATTGAGGTTAAAAGAAGTCTTCCTAGCTCCTTCTTCTCTTCTTCTCAAAAAAAAAGTCTTGTTGGTTGCATTTGTCATGATGCATCCAATTTGTACCGGTAGAAGTCCATCAAGGTTTCCCTCTATATTGTACTCCGTATCATATAGAGGGACGATTAGGGTAAACAAAAATCAAATGCTGTCGGCTTATATTGTGTTTTGTCTTTAGATTCCAAATACCCTGTTTGGTTCCCTTGCTGTTGCTCAACATAGAAGCACACAGGCCGTTGACTCCACACAGAAAAAAGATCATTTCGATTATATCCAATGTGATTAGAAAATTTCTGTTATAAATCGACCATTCTTTGTAATGTTTGTCTAATTTTCTGTTTAAGGATGGAAGAATTTTTTGCAAGGTGACGAGAAAGTTACACATTTGTTGTTTTGTTATTCCACTACAATTTGCAAAATTTTTTTTACAAAGATCATCAAAACAAAGCTCTTTTCCCTTACAGAATCATCAAATCAGCCAATGGTCTTTTATTTCTTTTACTCAACTCAACTTTCATCATTTGAGTTTCAGTATCTTAATGTATCTTCAAAATCTTATTCTCTATTCTCTTTCTCACCATTTTTGCAATTTCACCATCACCTGAGGACGGTGTAGCCCCCTGGTCAATAGACGAAGCTCTATCAACTGATCCTCAACCTTCGCTATTCACTCCAACAATTCCTCCTCCGCATGGCTATCCATTGTGCTGCACACTTCGTCTAGTGTTTTGATAATATACAGAAAATATTCCAACTGCAAATATTTTGAGTACGTATCACAATGTTAAGAAAAACAGCAAACTACTCTTACATTATTAGAAGGAAAAGATATAACATTACCTTTGCCTTTACTCTTGCTTTCGTACACGGTATCGTAAATACCCAAAATTTAACTTGGAACAAATAATATACACGATGGATATGAGCAGGGAACAACCACAAACCGTAAATGGCCCCGCATTTGAGCCTTTCCATAGCAGAACATGAGGCGCAAGATTTCGAATTTAGACAATTGGTGCTCAATATAATATACGCCCAAACAAGGTATAAACCCGCTACTATTAATGCGTCAATTCTTTGAATTACGGTACCCGGAGATGGACCGATGAAGAAGAAGACTTCATATACTAACGGTAAATATCTTTTGACATACTCTTCTCCCTTCCGCTGCAACCAGTGCTTATCTAACCAACACTTGAAAGCCAATAGTAGAAAGCAGATGGCAAACACTATCCAGGTTCCGAGCTTGAGTTGGAAGAGGTTGTAAGCAACTGATCCAGTGGCTCCGACTAGGAAACCAAAGAACCCAAGGTCGGTCCTCGGTTGTATAATCACCACCAAAATTAAGAACAAGATTGTCATGGTTAGGGCAAAACAAAGACTAGCCAATGATTTTTCATAGAACTTGTCAAGAATAGTCCCAAGAATCAAGCATATGAAGTTTGCAATTGAATTTACCTTAACGCCGCATCTTCGACGAAGGAATCCCAGCCGACTCCATCGACTCCACCGATTCGTATAACATAGCAGGACAGCGCAGAAATGGTAAAAGACCGCCGTTTTTATTCCACTGTGGTCATATTCTGAACATAACCGCGTTTTCTGCAGACACAATGATGCGGCTAACAGAGCAACCTGACCGAACAGAGTAGCCAGTGGCGCGCCGGCTTTTGCGTCCCACTCCAGAACGACGAAAAATCGAAATGTCCATTTCGAAATTGGAATCGAAACAGTCAGATCTCTTGTGTTGGAGGAAAAATGAGCCATTTGTGATTTGGTTAACTCTGGGATCGATTACTATATGTATATGGTTCGAAAAACGCAGTTTATAGAAAAACGGGTCCAAAAATTCCAAGAAATGTTTAGTTTCTAGTTTCTACCTTCAAGAAAAACAGCTCCAAGAGACTTTCTTTCTCCTCCTAATGGGAAAGTCTACCATACAGTTGCAGCAGAAGTAATGGCTGAAGACAAGAAGAAAGTGGACTTTATAGGCCCAAATTTTCCAATGGGAAAAACGCGGTTTATAGAAAAACGGCTCCAAATTTTCCAAGAAATGTTTAGTTTCTACCTCGAAGAAAAACGACTGCATAAGACCTTTTCTCCTCTTAATGGGAAAGTCTACTATACAACGGGTATAGCACGTCAACCGGTATCCCAGTCCAATGAGAAATGACAAGTCATTAAATTAGAACACCTCATCATCTAATTAAACGGAGAAGTTTAATAGCCATTCTTCTTTCTTCTTCTGCACTTCTATTTCATCTCTTTCTCCCCCAGTGCTTTCCTATCCTCCCAAATCTTTTCTTTGCCATTGATGATGGCCACAACCTCTGTAAGATCTGGATTTTGTCCTTCTTTAAATTCAGGAACACTAGGAATAGAGAAATCTTGGGATTTTTGAAAGTTATGTAAATAGAGCAATAAACAATGTATTAATTTTTCAGATCTTGGCCA